AAACTAATTTATTTCAAAATAAGAGTTCAATGGTACCAAAACATCATGAACAAAGTTTAGGTGAAGCAATGTTTGCCAAAACAAGAAGTTCTCAACAGCTATGAGATCCCTTTGTGAAAACCAAAAAAGTAAGGCAAATTCATAAGGCATTTGAGACACTATCTAGTCTAGATAGATAGTGAGAAGAGTTCGGATAGCCGCCTATTTCCCTGTTTCTTTTTCCTCTCTCTTCAGCTTCGAGACGCTTGAGAAGACATCATCCCATTCTTGTTTCTGAGTTTCAGCAACCATGCTGCCATCAACAAAAGGTTTCCACGTATCTTCATTAGAATCAGTCTGAACCCAGCTCACACTCTCTGGCGGATTGGCAAACTCGAAGTGGAAAGGAGCAACCTTCTTTGTTTTCAAGTCACTCTTCTGTTTTTTGCTTTGCGGAGTCTCAGATGGCTGCAAAAGAAATTGTACCATTTAAACATGCAAGAAAGTGTATGTTTCTTTGAAGCAAAGGGAAGACTAATACAAACATAAAAGTGATAGGTTATAACTAATGTTTTGATTTACTAATTGTAGCATCGCTGCCACTGCCAGTGTTTCCCTTCTTGTGTTTGCCGCCCATTTACAGGAAATAAAACACCTTATTTTTTGACCAAAATTTACCCTTGGAACCTGGTTCATAATAGTATTGCAGACTAGCTATTTTCACTTTGTAAGACGTTTATATCTTTGTCACATTCCAGCCACCATTTCACTATTTATCCCTGTACTATATCTATCATCTACATTCTAATAATTTCAATAGACAAGAAACTTGTAGAATAACAGCTTATCATTTGTTCATAATCAAAAGACAACGGTCTCTGCATCTATTGAAGACGGCAAACAATTAAAAATCCTTCATGCTCTAGTTTTTGAAATAATTCTAATTCAAACTCCAATATTAAAAGTAAAAACTAGAGAAAATAACCACATTTTCAGATGTATTTGCTATATAACGCACAACAACCAACAACAATAACAACATCATACCCAGTGTAATCCCACAAGTGGTGTTTTGGGAGGGTAGAATAAACACATACCTTACTCCTACCTCCTGAGAGGTAAAGATGTTATTTCAGAAAGACCCTCGCCTCAAGTAACACATATCAACACATTTTCAAAAATACAAACAAAAAACACAGAAGAAAGGCATATATAAAACATAATAAGAGAAATAATTACATAGCATTCGGAAATCATGATGAGTAAAATATAAACCTAGATTTATTTTGTTAAATAAAGGATAAAAGAGGAAAAATAATCTAAATGTAGCACAATTTTAGTCCAATACTATATGCATATGTAGTTTAGAGACGGAATTTTTACCTTATCAACATGGTAGATTTTTGTTTCAAACTTCCACTCCCCCGGCAACAAGCTTAGCCTCTCAACATTTACCTGATGCACCGGCATAACCATCTCAGCCGCCAACGCGGTCTTCTGCATCTCCAGAGTAGTCCCCGCCAGAGCCGGAGTCAGATTGGGCCCCTTTCCACCGTTGTTCGGTTCAGCGCCGATGTAGGTTCCAGACTGTAACATCGGATCCGTCTGTAAGGAGCCATCCTGGAATTCACCGTTGGTAACGATTACCAGCGGGATGGATGAGACGGTGGCGGTTTCAGTCATCGTATGGAGTTATTAAGGCGGGGAAGCGTTGGAAGAGTCAATAGAGAGAAAAATATCAATTGAATAATAGGAAATGACAGACAATGTATTTCTGATTGTACTTTTAAAGTAAATTTTCATAAACTATAAATAACATTCCTTTTTAAATCTAGAAACATATTTCATTTTGTTTCTAGAAGTACAATTCCCCCCACCTAAGTAGCCAAGTGATCATCCGGCAGCATGTGATTGGTCAATTTTTAATTATCTTTTTATGATTTTAAATAATTTAGACATATTTTTTACAACTATACATTATTTTATTGAAGATAAAACAAAAACTAAACATCTGTCGACTCTTTTTCTATTGTAAACTCAATGTCGTCATCATCTACAAGAATGGGTCTGTCAGAAATAATCTCTATACCTTCACAAGGTAGGGGTAAGTGTGCGTACACACCACCCTCCGCAGATCCCAGTCGTGGGATTACACTGGGTATGTTGTTGTGTCATTTCTTATCTAACACCCACAAAGGACCGTTTGTAGTACTCGTATCACATTTTATCTCTAGGTCAATGACTACCATAGATAGACCTGTCGTCTTCTCATAAAAAAATCACATTAATCTTCATAATAAGAACAAAACCTTCATTGAAGATATGCAAGCATAACTCTATTGTTCTCACTATTTGATGTCCCCAAGTCTTATTTCTATAACTCTCATGGTTCCATCACATGACTCACAAGTTCGATGACATGAAGATCCGTACAACTTTGAATATCTCCTTTATTTTTGTAAATTGGAATAAATGTACTCTTTCTTCACTCCTCAAGCATCCTACACTTGTTAGTATAGCATTAAATAGCTTGGTAAGTCATCATACTTCAACCTCTCCAAAGACACTTCCAAACTTTATTGGGATACACCATTCAGACTGTGGGCTTTTTTAGTCCTCATTTTTTTCATTGTCTCACTTAACTTTGTCGGCCTAATTCTACAAGTGCAGCTAAAATCTGTATCGTGCACAAAGGTATGGAGATACAAAAGGTTAATCTTGTAGTTTGAATTGAAAAATTAATCAAAACAACATTCACGCCTCTCATTGATCTTATTATCTTTTATCAATAAATTCTTAAGGACTATCTTTAATACAAATTCACTTGGTTTAAGTGCTTACTGTGCTTTTCTCTCAAACGTTCTAGTTTATAAACATTTCTCCCTCTGTCATTTAACATTATGTACAAGTCATCTAGGGCTTCTCTCCAACTTTACTAATAGCCTCCCTACCTTCCCTCTGAACTCTCTTATACTCTTCAAAGGTTTCATTATCTTTTGTTTTTGGTAACTTTTTACAGCATTCTGCTATTAGTTCTAGTAAATCTTTGCAGTTTGCACTTCATCATTCCACCACCAAGATTCTTGCAATCATAGTTTTTCTTGAAAGGCTAATTAGTACACGCCTTTTAATGCCCACCATCAAATTCTTCATAACTCTTCTCACTCTATATTCACGTTTTACCTATGTTTGATGGTCGTGGCATCTATTGGTATAACCTTACCGTCCTTACATGTGGTTCTATCACAACTTCTAGTAAGGGTTAAGTCCATTTGACTATAGTTTATGGTGCCAAATTTATCAATGAGGATAAAAATTGATATGTATCTTACTTTTCTAAGTAAATTTTAAATATCATTTGAATAACAACATACCAGTGTAAACCTACAAGTAAAGTATAACGAGAGTAGAGTGTACACAGATCTTACCCTTACCTAGTAGAGATAGAGAGGTTGTTTCTGATAGAAAACCTCATAGAGATAGAGAGGTTGTTTCTGGTAGAAACTCAAACTAGAAAGCATAGCAAAGTACTTCGAAAAAGGGAATACAGAAATGGAAGCAACAGCAATGAAATAATATGAAAAGAAAAGTAGAAAGCAACATACAAAAGAAAGAACAATAGCGACAAAGAAATGATACGATAACTGAAGCACAAAAGAACTAGTGATAATTGAAATCGAAGGCTAGAAACTACGACAATAATGTTGATACTACTAGTAAGAATGTATATATATATACAACCACCAAACCTATCTCACACAAAAGCGAGAGAACGTTCAACTACCAACTAAACTTCTATCCGAATCCACAACCAGCAAACCCACATATTTAAGGCCATGTCCTCAATAAGCAATAAGCAGCAGATGCAAGAGAATGTTCAACTACCCACTAACCTTTTATCCCAATTCTTGACCAACAAACACTCCCATTGAAGGTGATGTTCCCACTAAGCACAAGATTCAAGCACTAAATCCTAATCCATAACCACTAAATCCTTCTATCTAAGGTCATGTCCACAGTAAGCACAAGATGCAACAATATGCTTCACTACCAAATAACCTTCCAACCAAACCCTCTTATCTGAGGTCATGTCATCAGTAATTTCAAGATGCATCATGTACTTGTAAAAGTTAAAAGCGATCATTTACAATAACACATATTAACACTACTACAACATACCTAGCATAATCCCACAAGTGAAGTTTGGTGAAGGTAAGATGTAGACCGACTGTACCCGTACAGAGGCTAAAAAAAAAGGGGAAGCAAGGACCTGTGAGATCTCAAAGGCTAATAAATCTTTATCTTTCATTTCTTAACCCTTCTTCCTCAAGTAATCTGATACGAGTTCTTCAACCGTCAGACAAAATCGAAACCCATGAGACATAGTAGAAGCTGTAGGTACTGAAAAATCTCGACATTCTTCTCACCATCATTACAACAACTAATTTTACTTCTCTCATCTATTTCTCCATCTTTCTTAGAACCTAATAAATCTCCATTTTCCATCACTGAAAAAAAATCCAATTTCTTCAGCACATTGTGTTGTCTAGAAAAAATCAAGGAAAAGTTGAGAAGTTCGTATAAACTACTTGTTCGGAAAAAAAAAAGATGAGAAAACTACAAAATGATACCTTAACTTTGTTTTAGGTACAAAGTAGTCCCTTTTAAGAAGTTCTCAACAACTACGAGATTCCTTTGTGAAAACTAAAAAAAGTATTCTGGTGCAAACTTCACAAGCATTAAGATAAAGACCTCATATATCAATCCCATACTAAAATGCTTCAAATTTATTGGTCTTGAAACTAATTTATTTCAAAATAAGAGTTTAATGGTACCAAAACATCATGATTCATGAAAAAAGTTTAGGTGAAAGCAATGTATGCCTACACCTTTACCAAAACAAGAAGTTCTCAACAACTATGAGATTCCTTTGTGAAAACCAAAAAAAGTAAGGCAAATTCATATGCCATTTGACACACTATCTCGTCAAGATAGGTAGTGATAAGAGTTCGGATAGCTGCCTATTTCCCTGTTGGTTTTTCCTCTCTCTTCAGCTTCGAGACGCTTGAGAAGACAGCATCCCATTCGTGTTTCTTGGTTTCAGGAACCATGCTGCCATCAACAAAAGGTTTCCACGTATCTTCATTAGAATCAGTCAAAACCCAGCTCACACTTTCTGGAGGATTGGCAGAGTCGAAGTGGAAAGGCGTAACCTCCTTTGTTTTTGAGCCACTCTTCTGTTTTTTGCTTTGCGGAGTCTCAGATGGCTGCAAAAGAAATTGTACCATTAAAACACATAAGAAGATGTATGTTTCTTTGAAGCAAATGGAAGACTAATGCAAACATAAAAGTGATAGGTAATAACTAATGTTTTGATTCACTAATTGTAGCATCACTGCCACTGCCAATGTTTCCCTTCTTGTGCTTGCCGCCCATTTACAAGAAATAAAGCACCTTATTTTTTGACCGAAATTTACCCCCCGAAAACTGGTTCATAATAGTACTGCAGACTAGCTATTTTTCACTTTATAAGACGTTTATATATTTGTCACATTCCAGCCACCATTTCACTATTTATCCTTGTACTATATCTATTATCTATATTCTAATAAACTCAATAGAGGAGAAACTTGTAGAATAACAGCTTATCATTTGTTCATAATCAAAACACAGCAGTCTCTGCTTCTATTGAACACGACAAACAATTAAAAATCCTTCATGCTCTAGTTTCTGAAATAATTTCTAATTCAAACTCTAATATTAAAAGTAAAAACTAGAGAAAATAACCACATTTTCAGAAGCATTTGCTAAATAACCAATAACAATAACAACAACAACATACCCAGTGAAGTGGTGTTTTGGGAGGGTAGAATAAACACATACCTTACTCCTACCTCCTGAGAGGTAAAGAGGTTATTTCAGAAAGACCCTCACCTCAAGTAACACATATCAACGCATTTTCAAAAATACAAATACAAAACACAGAAGAAAGGCATATATAACACTTAATAAGAGATATAATTACATAGAATTCGGAAATAATGATGATTAAAATATAAACCTAGATTTATTTTGTTAAATAGAGGTTAAAAGAGGAAAAATAATTCAAATGTAGCACAAGTTAAGTCCAACACTTTATGCATATGTAGTTTAGAGACAGAATTTCTACCCTATCAACATGGCATATTTGTGTTTCAAACTTCCACTCCCCTGACAACAAGCTTGGCCTCTCAACATTCACCTGATGCACCGACATAAACATCTCAGCCGCCAACGCGGTCTTCTGCATCTCAAGAGTAGTCTTCGCCATCGTCGGAGTCAGTTTGGGCCCCTTTCCTTCATTTGGCAGTACGTCGTTGTTCGGTTCAGCACCGATGTAGGTTTCCGACTGTAACAACGGATCCGTTTGTAAGGAGCCATCCTGGAATTCGCCGTTGGTAATGGTTAACAGCGGGATGGATGAGACGGCGGCGTCTTCAGTCATCGTATGGGGTTATTATGGTGGGAAAGCGTTGAAAGAGTCAATAAAGAGAAGAATATTAATTGAATAATGGGAAATGACAGACAATATATTTCTGATTGTACTTTTTAAGTAAAGTTTCATAAACTATAAATAACATTCCTTTTTAAATCTAGAAACATATTTCATTTTGTTTCTAGAAGTACAACTCCCCCGCTAAGTAGCCAAGTGATCTGGCAGTATGTGATTGGTCAATTTTTAATTATCTTTTTATGATTTTAAATAATTTAGACATATTTTTTAGAGTTATAGATTATTTTATTGAATATAAAACAAAAACTAAACATCTGTCGACTCTTTTTCTACTGTAAACTCGACGTCGTCGTCATCTGCAAGAATTGGTCTATCAGAAACAATCTCTATACCTTCAAAAGGTAGGGGTAAGTGTGCGTTCACACCACCCTCCGCAGATCCCAGTCGTGGGATTACACTGGGTATGTTGTTGTGTCATTTCTTATCTAAAGCCCACAAAGGACCGTTTGTGGTACTCGTATCAAATTTTATCTCTAGGTCAATGACCACCATAGATAGACCTGTCGACTTCTCATAAAAAATTCACATTAATCTTCATAATTAGAACATAACCTTCATTGAAGATATGCAAGCATAAATCCATTGTTCTCACTCTTGTGATGTCCCCAAGTCTACGTTCTATAACTCTCATGGTTCCATCACATGACTCACAAGTTGGATGACATGAAGATCTGTACAACTTTGAATATCTCCTTTATTTTTGTAAATTGGAATAAATGTACTCTTTCTTCACTCCTCAAGCATCCTACACTTGTTAGTATAACATTAAATAGCTTGGTAAGTCATCATACTTCAACCTCTCCAAAGACACTTCCAAGCTTTATTGGGATACCATTCAGACTGTGGGGTTTTTTAGTCCTCATTTTTTTCATTGTCTCACTTAACTTTGTCGGCCTAATTCTACAAGTGTAGCTAAGATTTGTATCATGCACAAAGGTATGGAGATACAAAAGGTTAATCTTGTAGTTCGATTTGAACAATTGTTCAAAACAACATTCACCCCTCTCATTGATCTCATTATCTTCTATCAATAAATTCTTAAGGACTATCTTTAATACATTTTCACTTGGTTTAAGTGCTTACTGTGCTTTTCTCTCAAACGTTCTAGTTTATAAATATCTCTCCCTCTGTCATTTAACATTGTGTACAAGTCATCTAGGGCTTCTCTCCAACTTTGCTAATAGCCTCTCTACCTTCCCTCTGAACTCTCTTATACTCTTCAAAGGTTTCATTATCTTTTGTTTTTGGCAACTTTTTACAGCATTCTGCTATTAGTTCTAGTAAATCTTTGCAGTTTGCACTTCATCATTCCACCACCAAGATTCTTGCAATCATAGTTTTTCTTGAAAGGCTAATTACTACACGCCCTTTAATGCCCGCCATCAAATTCTTCATAACTCTTGTCACTCTACATTTATGTTTTACCTATGTTTGGTGGTCATGGCACCTATTGGTATAGCCTTACCGTCCTTACATGTGGTTCTATCACAACTTCTAGTAAGGGTTAAGTCCATTTGACTATTGTTTATGGTGCCAAATTTATCAATGAGGATAAAAATTGACTCTTATAAGTAAATCTTAAATATCATTCAATAACAACATACCAGTGTAAACCTACAAGTAAAGTATAACGAGAGTAGAGTGTACACAGATCTTACCCTTACCTAGTAGAGATAGAGAGGTTGTTTCTGATAGAAAACCTCATAGAGATAGAGAGGTTGTTTCTTGTAGAAACTCAGACTAGAAAGCGTAGCAAAGTACTTTGAAAAAGGGAATACAGAAATGGAAGCAATAACAATGAAATAATATGAAAAGAAAAGTAGAAAGCAACATACAACAGAAAGAACAATAGCAACAATGAAATGATACGATAACCGAAGCACAAAAGCACTAGTGATAATTGAAATCGAAGGCAAGAAACTACTACAATAATGCTGATACTACTAGTAAGAATGTATATACATATACAACCACCAAGCCTATCTCGCACAAAAGCGAGAGAACGTTCAACTACCAACTAACCTTCTATCCTAAACCACGACCAGCAAAGCTTCTTATTTAAGGCAATGTCCCTAATAAGTAATAAGCACAAGATGCAAGAGAATGTTCAACTACCCACTAACCTTCTATTCCAATTCATGACCAACAAACACTCCCATTAAAAGTGATGTTCCCATTAAGCACTAAATCCTAATCCATAACCACTAAATCCTTCTATCTAAGGTCATGTCCACAGTAAGCACAAGATGCGACAATATGCTTCACTACCAAATAACCTTCCAACCAAACCCTTTTATCTGAGGTCATGTCATCAGTAATTTCAAGATGCATCACGTACTTGTAAAAGTTAAAAGCGATCATTTACAATAACACATATTAACACTACTACAATATACCTAGCATAATCCCACAAGTGAAGTTTGGTGAAGGTAAGATGTAGACCGACCGTACCCGTACAGAGGCTAAAAAAAAGGGGGAAGCAATGACCTGTGAGATCTCAAAGGCTAATAAATCTTTATCTTTCATTCCTCAACCCTTCTTCCTCAAGTAATCTGATACGAGTTCTTCAACCGTCAGACAAAATCGAAACCCATGAGACATAGTAGAAGTTGTAGGTACTGAAAAATCTCGACATTCTTCTCACCATCATTACAACAACTAATTTTACTTCTCTCATCTATTTCTCCATCTTTCTTAGAACCTAATAAATTTCCATTTTCCATCACTGAAAAAAAATCCAATTTCTTCAGCACATTGTGTTGTCTAGAAAAAATCAAGGAAAAGTTGAGAAGTTCGTATAAACTACTTGTTCGGAAAAAAAAATAGATGAGAAAACTACAAAATGATACCTTAACTTTGTTTTTAGGTACAAAGTAGTCCCTTTTAAGTCTTTAACATTTTTATTCTTTTTATAAGTTTGAAATATTTATTAAACTATGATGATTATTAGATTTATTCTAAACTATGATATATAAAATATTTGATGCAAAGAAAATATTTAATGAGAACTCATATTTGGATTTATAATATTTGTCGTTCTTTTTGGTCTATTTCTAAAGTATAGTGTAAATTTCTTGGATACATCTTTTTGATCTATTTTTGGTATGTAGTACAGTATTATTTTTATAATGTGATTTTTTACGAAAGTTTTCAGTGTTTTTGGTTATTTTAGACACAATAAGTTTGAGAGAATCCCTACAAATTAGCTAAGGATTAAAATGAAATTACACTACGATCAAAGCTACACCAACAATAGATCAACCTATATGAGTGATCTAAGTATCTATGCAAATATAATATAATTAATAATTAAGAAAGAAAAAAAATCAACCTAATGGATAAAAATATCGTGTATTCACGCAGATTTAAAGGACACACCTCAAGGGGTGGTATGTGGACCGCCTACATAATTAATAATTGCTTCTACTACTCAAACATGTATTCAGGTGCAAACTTCACAAGCATTAAGATAAAGACCTCATATATCAATCCCATACTAAAATGCTTCAAATTTATTGGTCTTGAAACTAATTTATTTCAAAATAAGAGTTCAATGGTACCAAAACATCATGATTCATGAATAAAGTTTAGGTGAAAGCAATGTATGCCTACACCTTTACCAAAACAAGAAGTTCTCAACAACTATGAGATTCCTTTGTGAAAACCAAAAAAAGTAAGGCAAATTCATATGCCATTTGACACACTATCTCGTCAAGATAGGTAGTGATAAGAGTTCGGATAGCCGCCTATTTCCCTGTTGGTTTTTCCTCTCTCTTCAGCTTCGAGACGCTTGAGAAGACAGCATCCCATTCGTGTTTCTGGGTTTCAGGAACCATGCTGCCATCAACAAAAGGTTTCCACGTATCTTCATTAGAATCAGTCAAAACCCAGCTCACACTTTCTGGAGGATTGGCAGAGTCGAAGTGGAAAGGCGTAACCTCCTTTGTTTTTGAGCCACTCTTCTGTTTTTTGCTTTGCGGAGTCTCAGATGGCTGCAAAAGAAATTGTACCATTAAAACACGCAAGAAGATGTATGTTTCTTTGAAGCAAATGGAAGACTAATACAAGCATAAAAGTGATAGGTAATAACTAATGTTTTGATTCACTAATTGTAGCATCACTGCCACTACTAATGTTTCCCTTCTTGTGCTTGCCGCCCATTTACAAGAAATAAAGCACCTTATTTTTTGACCGAAATTTACCCCCCGAAAACTGGTTCATAATAGTACTGCAGACTAGCTATTTTTCACTTTATAAGACGTTTATATATTTGTCACATTCCAGCCACCATTTCACTATTTATCCTTGTACTATATCTATTATCTATATTCTAATAAACTCAATAGAGGAGAAACTTGTAGAATAACAGCTTATCATTTGTTCATAATCAAAACACAGCAGTCTCTGCTTCTATTGAACACGACAAACAATTAAAAATCCTTCATGCTCTAGTTTCTGAAATAATTTCTAATTCAAACTCTAATATTAAAAGTAAAAACTAGAGAAAATAACCGCATTTTCAGATGCATCTGCTAAATAACCAATAACAATAACAACAACAACATACCCAGTGAAGTGGTGTTTTGGGAGGGTAGAATAAACACATACCTTACTCCTACCTCCTGAGAGGTAAAAAGGTTATTTCAGAAAGACCCTCACCTCAAGTAACACATATCAACGCATTTTCAAAAATACAAACACAAAACACAGAAGAAAGGCATATATAACACTTAATAAGAGATATAATTACATAGCGATCTTAGGCATATTTATATGCCTAAGTTGTCAATATTTGCTCATGAGTCGATTAGATTAAAGAATGATCTCTAGTCATTAGCTTACTTTTTTGTGTAACTTGTGATGATTGTGCACTGAAACAGATGATTAGTCGTTTCAGGAACTCTCAAGGAAATTGGAGTCAACTTGAAGAA